TTCCAACTTTTGCTACAACAAACCACACTGCTAGAAACATCCTTATACTACTTAACTCCTGAAGTCCATGTGCAAGACTTTCTCTAGGGTAAACACCAAGGAGAGGAACAGTTGAGTTAGTGCATGCTCATCTACAACTTTAGTAGATAATGCCAGATTTTCCAAAGTGATTGTGCCAATGTACATTCCCACCAGCATTGTATAATACACCCTCCTGCTCCACATCCTCACCAACACTTGGAATTGACAATTTTTGCCATTTTCTTACTCAACCTCAATACAATAATCAAAAGTAGGAAATTAACATTAATATAATGGTACAATGTTAATCCAGAGTCCTCATTCAAGTTTTTCCAGTATGTTTTTAATAGCAAAACATGCTAGTCCAGGATCACGTTTTATTTAGCTTTCATCTCTCTTCTTCTCTCTCAGTATGGAAAAGTTCTTCCGTCTCTCCTTGACTTTCATGGCCTTGATCCTTTTGAGTACTGCAGGCCAGTTGTTTTTCTGCAGGGCTTCAGATTTTGTTTTCCGGATATTTCCTCATGTTTAGATTCAGGTCATGCATTTTTGGCAGGACTATCAGAGAAATAATGTTGTTCCTCTCATTGCATCCTGTCAAGTGGTAAATTATATCAATTTGTGCCATTACTGAAAATGTTCACTTTAACCAATTTACTAAGATTACTCCTCTGTAAAATTACTTTCTCCTTTGTAATAAATAATTTATCTATGGGGAGACATTATGCAATAGCCTGTTCAGTTTTAGCACCCTTTAGTGATTTTTGCCAGCATCAATTATTAGTGTGATGGTAAATGATGATTTTCTTTTTCCATCATTCCTTCTACATTTATTAAATGCAGCTCTATTGCAAGAAAGAGCTGTGTCTTCTCCCCCATTTACTTATTTTTTGAATTATTCATTTATGTTCATAGAGTCATACTCATTTTTATTTATACATCCATTGTTATTGTTCAGTCCCTAAGTCGTGTCCTATTTGCGATCCCATGGACTTCAGCAGGCCAGGCTTCTGTGTCCACTATCTCCCAGAGTTTGCTCAAATTCACATCCATTGAGTTTGTGATGCCATCCAACCATCTCATCCTCTGTTGCCCCCTTCTCCTCTTCTCTCAATCTTTGCTAGCATCAGGGGCTTTTCTAATGAGTCAGCTCTTCACATCAGGTGGTCAGAGTATTGGAGGTCAAGCATCAATCCTTCCAATGAATATTCAAGGTTGACTTCCTTTAGGATTGACTGGTTTGATCTTCCTGCTGTCCAAGGGACTCTTAAGAGTCTTCTCCAGCATCACAGTTCAAAAGCATCAATTCTTCAGTGCTTAGCCTTCTTTATGGTCCAGCTCTCACATTCATACATGACTACTAGAAAAACCATAACTTTGACTATACAGACCTTTGTCAGCAAAGTGATATCTCTGCTTTTTAATACACTGTCTAGAGTTGTCATAGCTTTTCTTCCAAGGAGCAAGCATCTTTTGATTTCATGGCTGCAGTCACTATCTGCAGTGATTTTGGAGCCCAAGAAGATAAAATCTGCCACTGTTCTTACCTTTTCCCGTTCTATTTGCCACAGTGATGGGATGCCATGATCTTAGCTTTTTTTGAATGTTGAGTTTTAAGCTAGCTTTTTCGCTCTCCTCTTTCACCCTCATCAGGAGGGTCTTTAGTTCCTCTTCACTTTCTGCCATTAGAGTGGTATCATCTGCATATCTGAAGTTGTTGATATTTCTCCCCACAATCTTTATTCCAGATTGTAATTCATCCAGCCTGGCATTTTGCATGATGTACTCTGTGTATAAGTTAAATAAGCAGGGTGACAATATACAGCCTTGATGTACTCCTTTCCCAAATTAGAACCAGTCTGTTGTTCCATTCCTGGTTCAAACTGTTGCTTCTTGACCTGCATACAGGTTTCTGAGGAGGCAAGTAAGGAGATCTGGTATTCCCATCTCTTGAAGAATTTTCCAGTTTGTTGTGATTCACACAGTCAAAGTCTTTAGCATAGTCAATGAAGCAGAAATAGATGTATTTTTGGAATTCCCTTGCTTTTTCTATGATCCAACATATGTTGGCAATTTGATCTCTGGTTCCTCTGCTTTTTCTAAATCCAGACTGAACATCTGGAAGTTCTCGGTTCACGTACTGTTGAAGCCTATAGCTTGAAGGATTTTGAGGATTGCCTTGCTAGTGTGTGAGATGAGTGCACTTGTCGGTAGTTTAACATTCTTTGGCATTGCCTTTCTTTGGGATTGGAATGAAAACTGATCTTTTCTAGTCCTGTGGCCATTGCTTAATTTTCCAATTTTGCTGGTATACTGAGTCAAGCATTTAAATAGCATCATCTTTTAGGATTTTAAATAGCTCAGCTGGAATTCCATCACCCCCACTAGCTTTGTTTGTAGTGATGCTTCCTAAGGCCCACTCGACTTCATACTCCAGGATGTCTGGCCTAGGTAAGTGACCACACCATCATGGTTATCAGGGTCATTGAGACCTTTTTGGTATAGTTCTGTGTATTCTTGCCACCTCTTCTTTTTTTTTTTTTTAAATTGGGCTCTAGGGGATGGGATGGGGAATACCTCTGTAAGTTATGCCCCACTAGAAAGATGTCCATTCTAACTTTCCTGGGCTAGCTTTCAGAGCTTTTTCTTGGAGCCACTGCTCTTTCTGGCAGCAGCCTCTTCAGATCCACTGCTGAGTTGCCACCTCTTCTTAATCTCTTCTGCTTCTGTTAGGTCCTTGCTGTTTCTGTCCTTTACTGTGCCAATCTTTGCATGAAATGTTCCCTTGGTATCTCCAATTTTCTTGGAGAGATCTCTAGTCTTCCCAATTCCATTGTTTTCCTCTATTTCTTTGCATTGTTCATTTAAGAAGGCTTTCTCTGGAACTCTGCATTCAGCTGTTTTGTTGTTTCTATTGTCTCAGATTTGACAGTTAGGAGCTCCTTCTAGTTGGTGTCTGTGTCCTTTCAGCATCTCTTTTAAAGGCACTTACTGTTACAATAATATGTCTCAGGTTCATCATCTACTCCCCCATCACCCCCTGCACTTGGCTGTCAGAAACTTGAGTCTCTCCTAACTCTGTGTGATCTCTAAGAAGTATTCAGCTTATAGCTCCCTGGCAGATACTCTTTGGCTGGCTTTGTAAATTTCCTCTATGTATACCTTGTCAGTCTGGTTACTCCAAGAAGCAGATGCCAAGAAGAGGATGTGACATGAAAGAGATTTATGGAAGTAAATACCCATAAGGAAAAAATGGGAAGATAGCCAGGGGTAGCTAAGGGAGTCATAAGACTGCAAGGCAGTGCTGACACTTATGAAGGAGAGAGGGATGAAAGTAAGATTGAGTGGAAAACATTTACACTGCACTGTATCTCTAAGGAAGTTTGGGGAGGATGAAAGAGCCTGATATATTTGACTTGCCACCAATTAGCCAGTCTCTCATAATCCTCAAGGAATGATGCCATATCAGGGGCTCAGCATCAGTCTCTTCACTGTAGTTTTCAGTGTATAAGACTTGCACTTCTGTCACCAGGGTATTCCTAATGAACTTGTGTCCCTGGGTCCTCCCATAGAACATTATTCTCTGGTTGTCTACTGGTCTTATATAATACATTTATTCTATTCTCTATCCTATTTCTCTCTTCCTTTCTCACTGTAAGGGCAATTCAGGCACTTCTACTTCCCTGGGTGTTGGCCATAGTTATTCCCAGGCTCTTAAGAGCAAACACAGCAGTGTGCTTCCTACATCCCATAAGGTCCTTGCTAGAGTGTTAAATCTCATGCCCTGAAGGTTTCCCCCAAGTCAGTGAACTCCTGCTTATCTAGGGATATATTCCAGTCCCCTTGATCAAATACCCCAAATCTAACACCAGGGGTATTTCCCTGAATCTTCCCAGTAAGCTAGCTAATTCTTACAATTCTTTTGGTGTAAGTTAATTTACACTCACTGCAGTTGGTGCTCTAGGAGGTGCATTTTCTTTCTTTCTTTTTTTTTTTTAATTTTTATTAGTTGGAGGCTAATTACTTTACATCATTGCAGTGGTTTTTGTCATACATTGAAATGAATTAGCCATGGATTTACATGTATTCCCCATCCCGGTCCCCCCTCCCACCTCCCTCTCCACCCGATCCCTCTGG